GGCCGGTGCTCCATCAATCGGAGATAATCATTCTGGCCAAGGGACCGAGTCATAACTCCTGATCCTATCGAGAGCCCGTCGCGTTCTTGCGGGCAGAGGTTTATCGCCGGCCCGAATGAATATTTAACGGGCGAACTTCTCCTCGCGGCGCGAGCTAGATGCGGGGGGGAGAGAGAGACTTTAATCAGCGTGGATTCGATATTCCATGAAATTTCCGACGAGTGCAGGGATAGGGGCGGGCGGCGGCGGCGGCGGCGGCGGCGCCGGCGGGGGTGAAATGCGTTTTGAGGAGGCGCTCGACGGCGAGACACACGCAGCCGGATTATGGGATGGGCGTCGCGACCCGCGAGTTCGCCTAATGATTCTCATCGCTCCGCGACACCCTCGTCGCGGTTCTCCACCAGACGAATTCGAAGGTGCGACTCTCCCTTCCGCGCATGGCGTCTGTAAAATACTCATCTTCCTCGAACAGAATCATCGATTAACCCCTTAACGCACAGTTTTTTTTGAAAAAATCAATTTTGATATACTGCGCTTTTGTTCCATGGAAAAGGCTGTATTTTATTCTTGAATAAATAAGTGTTATAGCTTACAATCCCATGTAAATATCAATAAAAGGATTTTTTCTTTGCTTTCACATTATTTTCACAGTTCGGCCTGTTTAGCGTACAAGTTAAGGGGTTAATACAATTATCAGAAATTTTTACGGGATGATTTTTGTTTAACCCCTTGCTCTATGATGTAGTGGTGAAGATATCAAATAGAATTTAACACTAGAAGCGAAATTGACTTTTTGAAATTTCTTTATAGAATCCATCTGTTGAGACTTTGATTCAGAATTCAGTTTGCTAAATTTCTTTGATCCTCTGCAATCGACGATATTTTTCGTTACAGACGTTCATTATTTTCTGATGGAATATTAGGAGTTGTAAATTACGCAAAGGAACATTTCGCGTAGATTATGGGGCGGAATTGTATTTCTATGTTTCTCATGTTAACTTTTTGCCACCTGATTCGACACAGCAAACTTATAAAATTTTCAATTCAATATTAAACCTTGTATAATGTATCAGCACATAAAACGTCGAAGTAGAATAGTTCCGTCTCTTAATTTATAGAAGATAATCGATTGTGTTAGTTGCGAGAAATATCGTTAATATTTAGTCAGAAGGTAATGAATATTTTGAATGAGAAATACTGTCGAGTGCGAAGGGTTAATACTGAAAGGATCGACACGCTTGAAACCTTTTATTCTGCGATGAGGGATGCTGTGAATATCGAGGAACGTTTACTGATTTTTGTATGCCATAGATAGATGAGTATTTTACGTACACCTTGTATATTCACGTGGGCGCTGATTTATCTTTCTGATCCGCTCAAGTATATTTTGCTTTCTTCACTCTTTTTCTCATTCTTACTCTCTCTCTCTCTCTCTCTCACTCTCTCATTTATCGTATTCAAAACGTAACATCTTTTTCTTCCAAACTTAACATCATAAATTAATAAATAAATATATATATAGAATATATATATATTATTTATATATGTATACGCTTAAGTCTGTATAAACGTGTGATCTCGTGTCTAAGTACACTCGAACCGTGTCGTGTGGCGATGTGTGTGTGTGTATATGTGGTGTGTCTATTAGGTAAAGGTCGCGTCTATTATTGCTTCAATTTACAAAGATGGCCGAAAGTGGCCCTCGCGCGGCCGACCGGCCCGGCGAGCCTCTAAACACGTGTCTTTTTGCTCCCTTAAGTGTCTCGCGCGAAGGAACGCGGTGATCCGAGGGCGAGCACGCTAACCGGTGCCACTAAAATCTTCAGGTGCACTTGCACACCGTGTTCTTGGACGCAGCTGCTCGAAATCCGCATTAATATGCATCTTCGGGTTCATCTACCCTTCCGGCGCTGAAACACTTCGCTGCGCGCGACATACACTTCGGCGCAAAGTTGCGAGAAAGCGATTTTATTTGTTCTCGAGACTGCTTTCTTCGTGGAACAAGCAATTCTGATTATTCACTAAGATCTCTGCTCTTTATAAACAACAAACATTGTATTCATTCGCCTATATTACTGTTTCATCGATAAGAAACGATTTCACTCGTTTCAGGATTGTCGAGAGTGTTTTCCGAATGCGAGAATTTCTGTGAATTTTTTTTGTTTCTCGATTGTTGCAGCGCCGAAAGGATGTTGACTCTTGAAAATGGAGAAAGAGTGGAACGATTTGGATCAACGAATCAGACCGAAAACAACGGCGCGCTTCGAGGTACGCAATTCGTAATTTCGCGCAGTCCCGCGGGGAGGTCTTTCCGAATCAATCGCAACGAAGCCTCGGCCGGAATAGTCACATATGCTGCGACCAGTGATCAATTAAAAGCCTCCTCGAGGGACCGGTCAATTAAAACCGAGCACATAATGGGAACTTTTACGGATCCTCCGGGTTTCAATCTGTTCGGGACCAATTACACACCAGGTGTACAACACGGTACCAGAGTCCAATCGCACGGCACGTATGACGATCTCCCCAAAAACATCGATTGCTGGACGATCTTTAACACCGAAACTATCGGATGAATCAAGCTTATTAACGTCCACCTTCGCAATTACCAAAAACATATACATACTTCGAGAAACGACCAAGGAACCTGCTTCAGCAGTTCGCTCTGAACCTTAACCCTTTGCACCCGAAAATTTTTAACCAGTTAACTGTGGAATTTAATTAGGAAAACCTCTGGTTTATGCATGTTGAGTATATTTTAATGAAAGATCGAAGCGAAATAAAGAAGAATTATATATTTATGCGAAAAAATAAAGAATTCATGGCTGAAAGAATTAGTATCGTGTCAAGCTTTACGATGACTTGTATACTCGTCAAACGCAGTTAACTGGTTAATGGAAATATTCAACATTTTCTCACGACATATAGTTTGAAACTAATTTAACGATAATTCATAGATAAATTGAGTTTCATTTCAATATTACGTAGCAAAGTTCCATTTGAAATATTGAATATTCAACTTGATAGTTTTCTTGTACCGAATCAAGTGAGAGTCACTCATTCATCATATTCAAAACGTAACATCTCTTTCCTCCAAACTTAACATCATAAATTAATAAATAAGTCAGTAAATAATAATAATAATAAGTCACTCACGAGTCACCTCTCGAGTGCGAAGGGTTAATAAACTATGTTTCGACGGAAAATAAACAAGTTTCGCTTGGTTCTAGTGTTAACACTAAAACCACCGAGCACTTCAATTGACTTTCGAAAATTTCGCTATAAACTCCAAGAGTCTGTTCAGACTTTAATCGATTTACAATTCAATTCGCGTAGTGCTAAATGAATCTCTACCAATTTCTCAGAGAAACATCTGTTACCTTTCTAAAAATCGCAAAAAGAAGAGATGGGACATGGGACATTTGACCCCTCCGGTAGTTTCAGTGTCAAAGCTGTCTGGGATGCGTCGAACGCGTGATTTCGTGACACCGTTCGCCGTCGAGAAAGGATCGTTCGGTTCCGTCGAACTCGTTTCTCGTTGATCCTTGAGGTAGCCGACTGTATCGCGAAATATCTTGT